CATTTAATGTTTTATTTAACATACGGCCTATAGCTCAAAAATAAATTATTAAATTATACTAAACGGCCAATAAGCAACACAATCATGAACAATATTAATATTTAAAATTGCTGGATTTGTGTAACTTTTGTCCTCAAAAATTAGAAAAATAAAAGATATCGTGGTTATCAATGGAAAAAAACGTACACACAAATCGTATGGAAAGGCGCTTTTTTATATTAAATAACCTTTGCTGCATTGTCATAATATTGAGCCAAATGAACTACTGATACACTAGAATAGAGTGGCTGCATGGTTAAATTAGGAATTCGCTTATATTATCGATATTTGTGTGTTTTAATCTATTTAGAAAATAATTTACAGTCTTATAGGAAATTGCCTTATTTTGCGGCTTTTACTTTTTTAAAGTTACAGTATATGTCCAAGCTGTGTGGAGCTGCCGATACAAATATATAAGCCTGTAAATATACATTTTCTACATTTAATTTGAAATAGTATGCACCAACGGATTAAAGGTAGTAAATAATTAGTACCTTTTCTAGTACTTTAAAATGCGTGACCGGAATAGACCTGCCGAAAAAGTGAGGTTAAGTTACTGACAACACCTTGTTATTATTACACCATGGGTGTTATGCAGAAATTTTGCTTGGCAAACTGCGTGCAATTGTTGTTGCAGCAAACTCGGAGAGAGCGAGTTTGGCGACTCTCACAGCAAACTAATTTTGTTTGGTCAAACTGCAGCAAATTCGGTGTTGTCATATACAAAAATTTTAAATTTTGCGCGTTATGTACATCTGAAATTCTCATTTCGTGTTGGCTATAGCCATGAAAACCACAATGAACGTGCAACCCTGTGCCAAACTCGACATAACCACCTCCGAGCAAACTAAGCAGCCGCCATTTAATTTGGCAAACAAAAGTTTGTCTGCATAACACCGACCTTATACATGAGACATTTCGTAGAGACAAAAAACGTTTACACTTTACGTTCTTTGGTGGATGACCTTCTTTGGTACAATTTCAAAATATAATTTTCCATCCCTGACTCCTAGAAGAATATGTCCCCACTATTTAGGTAAAATTATTCATTAAACTGCTTAAAACATGTCATGCTGAATTAAAGCGGCGAATACACGAGGAACATTGTTACAAACACAAGTGTCAAACATGCAATGAAACGGTCATTGTCCATGTGTGGACATGTTTGAAACAATGCTGAGCTTACAGTTGAAGTTATCAAAATTGTTTTATTTTGATACATTTTGGAAACAATGTTAAGGCAAAGAAGGTAAATTCACATTCTTTGATACAACGTCGCGTTTTTATGTTATCTAGTATTTTTGGTTCATGGGTGCATATTGATTCTAACCCGATTAGGATGTCAGTAAAATAGAAAAATCACAAAAATAAGTCGATACAGCAGCGCGAAAGCGGCTGGTAGTGCAGTGTGCATGCACAAAGCAACAAAGGTAAAATGCATTTGGAGCCTCATATAAATTGTTAATGCAACAACAAGTAATGCAGAATAAAAACCAAACAAACGAGAAAATATTTGTTAAAGTCAGACATCAGCCAATTGCCAGTGTCCAGTAACCATTTCAGCTTATATTCGTACGTGTGTATTTGTCCAACACTGGACTGCAGCTGCATAACGACCAAACATGTACATATGTACGTACTCTTATTTGTAGGTAATTCAGAGATTCTAGTTTTTCATCTTTGGCTTTGATCGTGGAAGAAAATTGCAGCGCAGAGTTCACACAGCAGAGAAGTGCGGAAAAGGTGAGCTGGGTTGAAATGAGAGGCGTCGAAGAAAACACCTTGCTAGACTCTAGCATTTGCATTTGTGCAGTGAAGTGAGCGGCTTGGCATAAAAAAACGCATAGCTTAAAGCTGTTTTTAATGAAAAGTGAAATAATAAAAACTCAGTTGATTGCAATGCACTAACGGAGCCAGCAGCAAACTTACATAAAAGTAAATACATCAGAAGAATCTTGCTAATTGAATCAATTGGTAGCAAGTCAGTAGGAGCAGAGATTAATATTTGTGCTACCGTAACTTTACTACAAATTTTGGTTGTTAGACAAAAAAATGGGTATGAACAATTTATCAATTGATGGCGAGTTCCGTTACATCATACAGTGGTTTAACGAGTGGAGTGAATTGCAGCGTGATGATTTTGTGCCGGTGTTGGTGGAGTATCTGCTGCAAGGAGAAGCTGGTGCTGGTCAAGTCTATATGAACGGGATGGTGAACTCAGTGGCACATGCGGGTATCCAAGATAAGCCAATGAGCTTATTTCAATGCAGGGTAAGTAATGTGTTTATTGTGCCAAATACCACTTGCTCGATTTGTTTTAACCGGGCCAAAAATGCAAATTCTTTTTGAAAGCCGAAAATTAGCTTTTAAATTTTACCACTTTAAAAAGTATTATTTTAATTTGTTAATATGTATGTATAAGTAAATTCCTGCTCTTTCTTAAAATAACTCATATTTTCTTATGCAGATAAAACTTTTCCGAGAATGGAATAAAAAATGGCCTTTAGAACTAAAGTTGAAACTACAAGAGAAAATTACAGAAATGGATTCGAAAGTAGGGGAGAAGATCGTAAACGAAATCAAGTCACATGGCGGCGAACAATTGAACATTGCAATGAATGGTTTTAACGGTGTCGGAGAAGATATAGAAGCACCTACTGAACCTGAGGTGGCCGACGGGGGAAATTCAACGTCTTTTGGTGTCACTGACGAACTTTCAGAGACAACAGAGGAAGCTACCAACTTGGATAGCCAAATTGTAGCAGCATTGAACAATGAAACACCGGTTGATGACAATATTACGCCAGCAAATACAAACATTAGTACTTCTGAAGTAGGCTCTACCGCTGTCACAGTGAATTCTTTTATTGATACACAACTGCGCTTGGAACCTGCTGATCAAGATCTAATGCAAGCACAAAGCATATTCGAAGAAAATAGTGTATTGGCTGATTGTAGCCCAAACACGACTGCCACTGTCGCATAAAGATTCCAATCTAACGTGGATAAGTTAAAAAAATATATGTAAAACATACATACATACCTACATATTATAAGCTGCATTTGTCTTTCTACTTAATAATTGTGGCAAGTAGCCAAGTAACCAACACGAACAAATGTAAACCAGAATTAATTAACTACATTATACGCATAGCATCTATAAATGGGCTAATGACTTGGATTATTCCTCAATAGTGCATCAATTACCGTTACTGAAAAGGCGAAGCATACCAGAAAAGATACATTTTTTTATAAAGAAATAAATATATACATAGAAATCTATATGCATATACATACATAAAAACACAGATTCATGTTTATTTACCATTGCATACAAATTAGTCGAAAAATCTAAGTTTCTGCCGCACACTCGATGCTTTAAATATATTTTATTAGTATAAAGTAAACGTCACAAATTTGTATTTAATACAAGTGTTTCGAAATATTTTTTATATAGTTTTTGTGAACAACATAATTCCACTTGCATTTATTGGAAAGTTAACATTTCCATAGATCTAAAAAAACTTTGGTTTAAATGTGTATTTTTATTTTATAAGTAAACTTAATAAAATGAAAATTAATTGTATGCAGAATCTCTTGTAAACAGTGCTCTTCTTTTATTGCTTTTGGCTCACCCAACGTTTTTATATTCAAAAATTGTTGCCCCACATACCCGTAATGCAATATAAATTTGGAATGACCTTTTCATTACTCATACAAAGTTTGCACGTCACTGTGGGGCGCAAGTGGCTTATCTACATACATACGTACTCATTTCACATTCGCAGTTCAATTAGATTTTCAATAGCAGCGTATGTATGTACATATGTATGTGCAAAAATAAATGGGTAACTAAGTGTGCAACTGAAACTGCTGTTGCGAACTTTCAACGCACAGTGTATTTGATATGTTCAAATCGTTAAACTTTGTAGGTTATTGTGTAAGGAAAATAACAAATAATTTTTAGCAAAAAAAGCCGACTTCAACTCTCATATTAAAAAAAAATATATATATATATATATATATATCTCATGATCCACTGATCAGATCCTAGCCAGATTAGTATGGGACCACCTCTGAGACACTACCTTTCCGATGCAAAAATTATCAAAATCGGTTGACGTGGTCTAAAGTTTGCGGTAACATACATACATAAAAAAAAAAAATATTCCGACGAACTGATAACCTCCTCCTTTTTTGGAAGTCGGTTAAAAAATACGAAGGCTGTTTTCTCAAGTAGGTTTAAAAAATTATCTGCCCTTTAAACACAGTTTTTCAGAACAAAATTTGGGATTACATATTGTTATCGTAGCAGCATAGTGCTCGACCTAAACGACTGTCGGGTCTACGTAACCGGAACGCCCCAGATTTATATTTGGCCAAGAACTGTCACTCCAGCATCATTCCTCAAACCCTTTTGGCGAATTTATACATATGCTGTCACAAAAACAACAAGAACCACAGAAAGTCTCCTCATCTTCCGACTCGGCGAGCCAGACGGGGAGAAAGCGACAACACAAAGCGAACGACGTCAATGGACAGATGTATACTCATATGAGTTCAGCCAAGACATATCTGTTAAGTATGTGTAACCCCACATATCTCGCTTGCACTATGGCTTTTCACGTGTTACGTTGTTGGGATGGCTTCTGTCGTCCATACTGGCGCTACATAGTTCATCATCGTCTGTCACGAGTACAATAACAACAACAGTAAATGTTGTCAGCCAGGGAGTTAAGGGTGCCCGCATGGATGCTCCGCAAGTACCCTCTGCGAATTCGTCCAAAGAGGACTTAACCTAGCACAAAGATGGGGCACGGATGTAGCTTTAAAGACAGCTATCGTCCCCTTCACCAAAAAAAGAAGCTCTCACGACGAACAGAAGCGAAGTATTTGGGACTTATCCTGGATTCCAAAGTCCTGTGGAGAATTCATTTTGAGGCGGCCACCTCCAAGGCTACGAGGGCGCAGGTGGTGTGATAACGTCAAGCGGGCATATCCTGGTTCTGATATGCATGCACACTATGATAGTACCACCAAAAAATAGTAGCCTAGGGGGCAGTGGCTTCGGTTTCCAGGATAGATGGCAGTCCTAAGTGGACTCAATTAGACTCAGGGTCCTTTGTGATAACGCATGAGATGGCTTCCAGGGTTACTCTAGTAACGGTGAGGAATACCCTCACCAAGATTCAAAGTCTTGCGTTTGCTAGCAGTACAGGAGCAATGCGCACATGCCCGACGGCAGCGCAGGAGGTTTTTACAGTTGAGAGGGCTTCAAAGCGAACTCTACTAAATTTCGCGAAAGAGGGCAAAGATAAGGACTTATCATCTAGGCACAGGGACAAGCTAGGCACCCAGATGGCTCTAAGACCGTTTCCACGACAGTGGGGTCCACATAATCGGAACGACCCAGATTTATATCTGGTCAAGCACTTTCACTCCAGGAACACTCCCCAAAAACTTTTTGGAGAATTTGTGAACTGTTACAACAACAACAACAACAATAGCAACAGCAGCAACGGCTCTTAGACTCCTGCGGGTATTGTAGCAGGAGCATATGACAGACTGAAACTTTCGTTGGATCTGTGAACCTTTCTAGGCGGAGTGCTATACCATCAGTCTATTTGCAGAGACCAATCTTCGCGGGAATTATCGATGTGAGCGGATCTGATAGTCAGACGTTTTTGATAGTTGAACTAACTTAATTTAGGCCTTCTGGCTCCAGATTTCCATCGGGAAATATAGTTAATGCTAGACATAAACGCTATACTATATATAAACGCCTACTAAATATGTTTTATTTTTCAAAGTTCAACTGCGCAGAATTTTGCTTTGCATTAGGAATTACAAGAGGTTGTCAACAACCAACTACGATTTATAAAAGCTGGAACAAACTTGAATTGTCGAACAAAAGAAAAAAACCACTTAATAAGAGGAGCAAAATAAAATCTATGGGCGTTTTGTGAATTAACGCGATTTTTTCAAGAGACCAATGGATTGTTACGAATTATTGAGATTGACGAATTAACGGAGTTTGAATTATCGCCGTACACTGTACTTCGATATATAAAACAGATGTACGAATGTACTAGTGTGTACTCGTACATACTTATTGAACGAATGTGCCAAATTGATTTTTACTATCCGACTTTCATTTCGAACACACTGTGTGCCGCGGCACCATCTTTTCTATGCTTGTGATGCATAGAGATTTACTGCTCCGGTTTCGCCAGTCAGCTGTTAAGGTTAAACGAAACGGGGCTATTCTTTAGTTCAATACATGCAAGCGAGTAACACAATTTATTCATTGGATACGTGTTATTGTTTCGTATCGTATTTTATCGTTTTTTTTTGTTTGTATTTCACTGCTCTTGCTCTTCTTTTGTTTGCTTCCTGCCGATAAGCTCTCAAATAAACTTAGTTTTTTTTAACCGTTTTAATATCGAGTTGAAAGTGAATCGTGTTGGTTGACAGAAGATTGTGGGATGCTGGGCAGTTCATACGAAATGAGTTTGTAAATATATAAAACCACAAAAATAAACATTTTTATTATACAAGAGCAGAGCAGCAAATAAAAATAAAATAAAACTTAGTTAATAAAAAATGAAATAAACTGCATCTCATTTGAAGTGCGTTGAAGAAGAAAAAAGTAGAGTAAAAAAAAAAAACAAAAAGGTTGTAACAAAACAAAAAGCTAAAAGGCAAATAGTGAATATATAAATAGAAGCGGGCAAAATAGAATAGAAAAATAATAATAAAAGCATAAAATGCATCGGTGGAATTGTTTGCTGCTTTTGTGCACATTTTATAAACGTAAGTAGTTAACTACCATATTTATTTAAATGAAGATATGATGTTGCCAAATTCAATCTCGGAATGTTGTTCCTTATTAAATCGGTGTGGGCATAAATACATACCTGCCTATGAATATGAAATCCTACTGAAGTCAATTTAGCTACATATGTGCTTGTACTTCCTACTGCAAATTTAACGAACCAGGTGATAACAATTATTAACTTCAACAAATCAAAAATGCAACCCAATTAATTGATATAATTGGAACTGCAACAGTTTCTTATCTAATTAAGTTTATAATTGAATTGAAATAATTTACAAAAAAAAAAAATTATATTTTCTGTAATCCAAAAAATTTCTTCGCTTATGCTAATATATGTACATGCAAATATTTTTAAAGGCAACTAAATATGTTGCATTCTATTCTGAAAATAATAAAAGAACACAACTCTTTTCAAAAAATTTCTTAAGCGACTTTTTCAAATATTTCCGCATTGGGATTTATCATAGAATACTTAAAGTTTAAATACACATCTCTTAAGCGACAAGGGCGAGTGACACATGTCGTTTGTGTTGTTTTAAGAAACCAACCAACAAAAAAACCCACAAACCCATTCAGTGGTTGCTTTTGAAGCTGCACTAATTCCGATTTCATAGTAATCGAAGTAGAAATATGTATGTATGTATGAATATATGTGCATATGTATGTATCTACTTAAATGCATAGCCATGTAATCACGAAGTAGTTTGGCGAACATGTGCTTAACGAGTTCCATATGCAGATGCCAGAGCATTTATACATACATACATATGTATGTATGTATGTAAGTATGTTTTTGCATATCTTACATGTCTGCATGGCAAATAAACCTGCACACAGGCTCGTTGCCCTTGGTTGTGACGCAATGCGAATGAAATGTGCCGGTACAGCGTATATCAGCGCAAGAAAACAAAAGACTTTGGGCACGAACTTGATAGTCACATAGCAAATGAGTTTTGTATGTTACCGCACATGTTCTTCATAATTATTATTATTTATTTGAAATTGAGCTCATATTAGGCGTATGGAGAAGGGAGGCTTTTCTTTAAATCGGTTTCTTCTTCTTTTGCTTCAGCATTTGGCATTTGCTGGAAGGTAAATTGATGAATAATCTGTGAACATTTTTAGTGCATAATATATGTACGAACTCTGTTTTGATATATGTACATATTTCTGAAGAACATGTGCAAAATGTAAATAGGCGTGCACTTTAATGTATGTACTATTGAATTAATTATCGCTAATCAGCAATCAATATTTATGTAAATACATATGTGAGAAAAGTGGCATAAAATTTCATATTAGCCACATGCTAGTTCAGATACTCTAAAAAAATGTAACTGAAAGTATAGGGTTATATGAAAAGTGTTCGCGGATTTTTGTCCAGATGTCATGTTCACACATACATCTGGCCACACTAATCTAATTGCATCAAAACGACGTGCCTTTGAAAGGTAACATTTGAAAATGAGTGAAATATCTGGGGAAATACAAATTTATTTGATGATTGTACACGCCGCAAAAACATGACGAAAAATTCGTGTAGTGTAAAATGGGAGTGCTGTTAGTGAACGGCGGTTTGCTCAATTCCGCTGCGGAATTTATTTTGTGTCAAAAATGCCTCTCGCTCTGGTCGGCCAGTCACTGTAAAAGTCGATTAAATAATGTAAATGGTTGAGCGGGACCGGTATGTAAGCTGTCAGGAGATAGCGGAGACATCAAACATCATTCACATGACAGTTCATAATCACATAAAAAGGCTACTGAAAGAAGTGCAATGTTTGGCTGCAACTAGAAATTAACGCAATGAAAATTTGACTGACCATCGGTGAAACGCTGTAGAATCGCAATGAAATCGAACCATTTTTGAAGCGAGTCATTAGGGACTTTGAAAAATATATTGAATACGCGAATAAGCAATACCATCTGCAAACGACCCCAAAGCATTGATCGACAGAAAACAATTTATATTGAGTCTTTGGTGGGATTGTCCATTACGGACAATGTGGCGAAATGATGAGTTCGGATTTGAACGAAGAAATCAAGAAAGAGCGACCAAAATTTGTTGAATTTGGTTGCAGCAGACGACTGACTGTTGCACGAGTTTCAAAAAAGACTGCACCTGGTGAATATGGAAAAATCCATTAAAAGCGTGCGTGAACGTATTGTTATTTTTCCATATTATGTCACAGCCCATAATATCCGGTGGCATTGAACTATCTAAAGAAGAGACCGGAAAGATGATGGTAAAGAATTTTTGTGGCATGACGAGAAGCTAACTAATTGATAAAGTAAGCAGACATCAGAATATAAAAAGAAATTACTTTCAAGAACTCTATAGACTATGATTTCCATACTCTACCTAGGACCACTACCTATGTATATAAAACTCAAAGAATTGGAAAACGATATTTTGAGTGATGAACTAGTGTTCTTATCTTTCCACGGAAAACCTACCTTTGGCGAAAGGGAGCCCTTATGTACATAAGTATAGCTTTGGAAAATATATAAAATCTTTTTACTTTGAAAAAAAAAATGAATACACAGAAGTATACACATTCCTCGTACATCGTTCTGATTAATTTTGTGGGAAATTCGATAAAAGATATTTGGACTTTTCTGCGGGAAATCGCTGTTACTTATTCCCACAGTGCAAAAAACAAAATCGTTATTCAAGGAAAGACAACTCCACTTTTTGAGTGTCTAGTTTAAAATCAGGGCTTCAATTCCCCAGAAGATTTGTAATATCTACTTTTAACAAGATTTCATGCCTTGAAAATTTTTTCCCATTATCTTTGCGGGCTCGGGAGAATTTATGACACTTGCAGCAATCGGCAGTCGACTTACTCCTTATGGACATATAATTATTTACCATTGAATGTACTATTGATTTTTATAACGATAGTTAAAATTATACCTTATTTAACAAAGAGAAATCAAAGAAAAACATGTTGCACATACAATTCTTTTACTAGGGTTAAAGTGAATTTCTTCGAAGGAACTGCATGGGAGTAGTGATTAGTAATTCGCCAGTTCATTCAACGGAAGCCGTTTAGCATCACTCGGGACATCGAAAAATCTTTACCACAAGCATTTTTAAATTTTATTCAGATTAAAATATATTTTTATGACACATAAATACATATGTAACTGAGTCTAATCAAAAACGATTTGAAAACGATTTCGTATTTGTTAGATCTCACTCGGAATAGAGAACACCACCACGGAAACGAGTCGGAATTTTTATGGTTTTACTTTTCAAATTGAGTCCAAATACAGAACAGGGCTGAATGTTATTTTTTTTTTTTGAACAGGAAGCAGCTACGCACGCACTAATTCTACATAGAAAGAATTTATTCAAACTACACTGAGAAATTTTCGTTTTCAAATTTGTATGGAACGTTTTACTTTTAAAAACGTTTTGGCCCAGGTTTTGCACCTACAATATTTATTTAAATTTTGAGAACGAAAATTTTCAATTAAATTTCTAAAATCCATGCATTAGTTTTTGATACGCACATTTTCAGATCATTTTTAAAAATGATCGTTTGATAATTGAATATGCGCATTTGGAAAAAAAATCCTAAAAGGGTTTTTCTTCATTTTAAAAATATGATATTCAAACTTGTCTTTATTAAATCACAACAAATCATTTGGTATATAAATACGTTGTCAAAAATATATAATACTTACATACAGATGTTCCTGCCTTACTTCCAAGCTGGACCTGCTAATTTTGTTTCACGCTGGTCAAATCTTGTAATTTAAAATCAGAAAGTTTTAAATTATTATTTAATAACTCATAAGGATTTATTTTTGTAAATTATTCTTACCAAAACTTTTTTTCGGTCAAGCTTCTCATAAAAATACAATCGCCATTCAGCGTGGACGTATAACGGTAGGTCCTTCCTCTTTGTGTGACAACATCAAGGCGCATACCACAAAACGGAGGAGAAGCTCGGCCCAACATTAACATCCAATCTATTATTATCTTATACATACATATATATATATTCCTTTTCCTTCTATCATGAACAAAAATTCCCTGAGGACTTTTTATTTTACATGGCGAAGTTGAGCTGTCAAAAAAGTGTCAAACAGCTCTTTCGAAGTTCGAATTTCCTTCTCCCAAATTTTCGGGGAAAATGAACTCCCTGGGAGCTAATTATTGGAGGATTTATTTGTCTATTTATTGTGCCCCCTATTACAACTTTAGTTGTTTAGCCCAACCATATTTTTTCGTTGTATGGTCCAGTATGTAATTTTAGGCAGGACAACGTCTGTCGGGTGTGCTAGTTTATTATAAAACCTCATAGCGAATGTCGTGTCGAGTGTATGTCGTTTACCGAGAGTCGAGTCGTATCGGAAATTGCTTGGAATGGCCTAAAGTTTTGACGCCACTTGGCAGCACTGGATAGTTTTCGCTGATTTTCGTCGTCTACTTATTTCAGCACGACAGAAGTCAAAGCCGTGTTGTCGTGTCATTTATGACTGATGTAATGAGCAGGAAATGGATTTTTAGGGCCTAAAAACCTATAAATAGGCAGGGAAAGGCACTAGAAATATAAACAAGTAATTTTTAACAAAAAAAACCGACTTCAACTCTCTTAAAAAAAAAAATATATATATATATATGTATATATCATGATCCACTGATCGGATATTAACCACCTCTGAGACACTACCTTTCCGATGCAAAAGAATTATCGAGATCGGTTGACGTGGTCCAAAGTTACGCGGTAACATACATAAAAAAATAAAAAATAAATAAAAAAATATTCCGACGAACTGATAACCTCCTCCTTTTTTAGAAGTCGGCTAAAAATGCAAAATAACGCACTAAAAAAAGACAAAAACTGAAAAACACTGGTTTGCAAGAAAAATGTTCAACGAACGACACTACATATCCAATTCCTATATAGAATAGTTCGCTGATTCCAAAAATCGAGTTAATTTTTTATTCTATGGATAAGTTTTCGAGATAATTTCAGGTGTAATGGCGTACGAGTAACATTTTTTTCTGCTACATAAATATTTGCGCATTTTCATATGACCACTTATTACTTCTTTATTTATCCATCGATTTTCTTCATTATTAACTTAATTTTTTATTTTTTTTGTAACAAAACAGGCTTTAACAAAGCTTTTAATGTACTAAACGTGCGCTTAACGTGAGTTGATATGTACATGAGGCGCCTGTTTTAAATATGGAACGTTTGAAGTGTTTATATTATCAAGAATAAGGGCTTTTTCTTCGCTGCAATCACTTTTTTAAAGGAAAAAAGGCAAATATCTTAAAAAAAAAGCAAAATGAAATGTGTATACAAATATGGAATCAGGGAAAGCTAATTCGTGGACATCCTTAATTGAATGTACTCTATCCCTTTAGCAAAAAAAAAAATAGTTTCATAAAATCCGCTCCCTGATAATGAGTCTGATAAATTCCCCAAATAAAGTATTTTAAATACATGAACCAAATGCATGAAATTGTGATTATGCAGGCATTTTTAGCTACGTTTCATGAAATGATTTCGTGAAATGACAAACGCATATACCTAGTAATACTTATTTAATCAAGTTTTACAGCTTTCCATATTCTATTTTTGTTTTACCACTTTCAGTTAGCAATGCCATTGCCCTACCCGTTGACTTGCCCAAATGTAATTGTATACCCGTGAAAGAGTGCGAACCAATCGCATACTTGCTCTTGAATCACAGGCCGCAGGAAGCAGACATAATCTACAAAATTGTGCAGAGTGCCGGTTGTGGTTATGCCGGTCTTGAGCCGCTTGTCTGCTGCCCCGCCACTTATGCTAACCACAAAGCAACGACGCGCGTGCATGCAACAGAAATCGATACATTCGGGAGAACAGATCCCGACGCATGGGTGTGGGACAGTGCCCAATTGCCCACACGCTTTGATACATTCACAGAAAAGTTGATGACAGCCAGCTCAATGGATAGCAGATCAACCAAAGGCAGACCAAAAAATTTTTACGAAGAAACGGATATATTTGATTTTAAGGATCCAAAGACGCAACGAAATTTTCCACATTCTTTCAATGAAGAATCTGTTGAATTCCATAAAAATTATGAAGATAATGCACAGCGCGATTGTGGTAAGGATAGGCAAAAACAGTTCAAGCCTATAACGGATGTGCAATGGCATCCCATTGGCGGGCATAAATCGTTTTCGCATCACCAGCGCGATCAAGGACACGGACATGTTAGCATACACGATTATGACCATTTTGATGAAGATGAATATCCTCGCATAATTTTTAGACCTTTAAATGATGGCGCTATTGTATATCCAGACGATAGACGTTTAAATCGCCCACTAAAGTTTCCGATGCAGCGACCGACGTCGACAACGACAACGACCACAAGCACGACAACTACTACAACAACAACGAGCTCAACAACAAAGAAGCCGTCCGTCAAACCAACGGAACAGTCCAAAGTCAACACAGCGCGTTGTGGCATACCGGCAGTCGACGCTGCAAGTGGTGAACGCGTATATCCATGGATATCACGAATAGCTTATATTAACAAAAGTGAGCGGATATTTTATTTACGTAATTTATTTTATTTCAGAGCTTGTATACATGGTAACTTCACATAATTTCATTGACCACCTTTTGCATCTTCTTGGTCAAGACTACGCCAAAGAGGAAGACGAGCGTGCATTTGAAGAGTGACCACTTGCTTTCGCTCAATTGAAATCGACCACCTCTATCCGTTAAAGAGGAAATGGAATTTGTTATTTTCGAGATAAAGGTTTCTTTTTCGCCTTCAGCACCCATTGGGGGTTCATTCTCATCCATGGTATTACCTCTCTGGGATTTCAGTATTCCTGCAGAAGAAAGAAATAATAAATTTTCCATAAGAAATATAAAAGTATACTTATGTATGGATGTTTGTAGATAGACAGTTGGTGGGTCAAAGTCCTCAAGAAAAATACGTAAACTTTCAATTTAATGTAGAAACATTCCTCTTCTTTGCTTATGGAAACAAAGCACCAGTTTTGAATCGCTTCCTTATTGCTTCTTCTATGGAAACAATGTTTTCACAATTCTTAAGTAAAGCTAACTGGAGAACTTTTTGGAAAAAAGTTTCCCCCCCATACATTCCATGGACAGTGAGGAGAAAAAGATTTCCACTAATGACATCGTAATGTTTCCTTTCCTAGAGGGATGCGACTGTTTTGAAACTGTGTGAGGTGAAGTGAATACCAAATAAAAAAATAATAATTGCTCGAGATTACATTTACAGCTGTATTCTAACATGAGCTGTTATCGATGCTGTGATTGCTACTGAGCCTCAAAGTTTGCCGCCGCAACAAATATGCCACTACAACAAACATTTTTAAGTTTTTGTGTATTTTTCTACCACTTGAAATCGAACTTTTGTGGCACATTTTGCGGTGCACTAGAAATCACAACACTGATGAGCTAAGTTTTGAGAATCTGTTATGGTCTAATTATGGCAACTTAACGTAACGTGGCTCTCTCTCTTAAAAATTCTGTTAAATGGGTGCTATAATTACGGTGACCATAAATATGGATTGGATTCAAAGTGAAGGACAATTTTTCAAAAGAATATGCCTACATATATTTACGTAGTATAAAAATATCAAAAGAGTATTTATGATTCAAAATTATGAATACATTTTAAGCTTTAAAAATGAATCACGTTTTCTTCATCGATATTAATCTTTTTTTACATGAATATTTATAAAAGTATAGTAAAAGATATTATAATAACAGAAGCTTACACGAAAAATGAAAATCTTTAAAATATTATTTTATAGACAAATTTTGAGTCGTTCAAAACGAAAACAATACCCTTTTTTTGTTTTTTGGTATTTTTCGCAGTTATTTATCAAAATCGACGTCATGAATAGACGTAAACGACGAGTTACAAAGGTATTTATGTGCCCTTTACAAAAATATATAATTTGTGTAGATTGCGCTGCATAGCATCTACATTTCTAATCCGATTTTTATAATCTTTGGCTCAAAATTTACTGTAATGATATAACTGCTTTATCGAATTTTTAAACAAATGAAAAAAATTATCGGATAAAACTGCGTATTTGATTGAAAATCTAACTTTTTTCGACTTTGACGACAAAATGCAAATGGTCGCCTGTAGCACTAATAATTTTCATTGAAGTCGCCACAAGTTATATATTTTGGTAAGAGCTGTAAGTCGCTTACGTTGGTTGGGAGACTTTTTCATGAGATATTGAAGAAAAGCTACGAAAAGTACCAAAAAACTCTTTTTTGAAAAAATCCATCCATTGTCCGATAATTTTAAAATAACGATTAAAATGCGGGACAAATACAGGACACCTGGAAAAAATCAGTACATTTTCAGGTTTTTCAGGTTTGAAAAACTACGCAGGACCGACCTTTGAAAAACAGTACGGTCCTGCAAAAAACAGAACGGATGGTCACCGTAGTTATAATTGAACAGCCGAAACTTAACGTAACTTAATGCCACGTCGAAATCTGTTTCATTTTGATTCTCTAAGTTCTACGTTCCGTTAAGTTAAGTTAAGTTAAGTTGCCATAATCAGGCTTTTAGAATAGAGAATATAAACTGTAAAAGTTAACAGCTTATCTTCTTTTCAGCAAATAATTTTATTAGCTATCGTTGTTCTGGTTCCGTTGTAAGTCAATCGCACATCCTGACAGCGGCACACTGCGTCGTTAACCTAGTGAACGATCTGCGACTGTGAGTATACGTATCACTCCATATATAGTTGAATGAAAAATTTATGTAGCTCCATTCTAATTGAAATATTTCCTTAACAGCTCTCACGTGCGCATCGGTGGTGTGGCACTTTCCACTAATTGCACGGCCAGCACTAATTTTAGCAACTGCTTCATCGCTTCACGCACTTTTCAAATCGCCGAAGTGCGCGTGCATCCCAGCTATGATCAACCTAAGTACGCCAATGATATTGCATTGGTAAAAATCGTCGGCGAAGCGAATGGTATGTATGCTGCTACGTTGAACAGTTTCGGTTCTCTTCACATTTTATAACGGTTTTAATATCTTTTATGAGCATAGACTACACACCAATTTGCTTACCTCCAAATCTGTCTGCTTCTGTACGAGATCAGCTTATAGGCAGCCCGGGAATTGCACTCGGTTGGACAGCGGATATTGAAGGTGTGCTTTTCTTTTGCTTTGGTTTACTCAATTTTTTTTGTGCACTTATTTTAGGATATGTTTAGAGCGAGAACGTCAAGTTGCCTTGATTGTCATTAATAGGCATAGATATCGGGTTTAATTTAGCTTTAATTTGTATAATTAATTTTCTTTTTTTTGACGTAAAAAACATCGATTTTGTTGAATATAAATATCTAAGGAACATTTCAGGCAATGATACAAGTAGCCCAAGAGTACGTTACCTCAGCTTACCAATAGTGAATACAACTGAGTGCGCTATCACCTATGCGACATTCAGTGAGAACTTCAATGATCCTATAGTGATTACACCATCACAGTTATGTGCGCAGGGTGGGCCAATGAATGATGTCTGCCGAGGTGAGTAAATTGGAGAATTATTAAATTACCTAAATTAAATTTTGAAAGATGGGCGTTACTAAAATATTTCAAGAGTAAATAAAACTGAAGCTTGCATACTGATTTGCCAAGATGAAGGCAATATACATATCTATGGTCCTGTGCAATAACGACACAATTCAAAATTAATCAAATAAAAACTGGTACTAGTGTAAAGTGATTCTTGTCCCTAATCATTGTCCATTAGCGTATTTTCACGAATTCCAAATCGCGCAGCTCGAGGCCTATTCTCAATTTCAGTGAAAATTTATGTATGTACGGCTCCCAAAGTTTTCTTCTTCTTTTTGATTGCCGTTTTTTCGGTGACAATTGACGCCAATTGAAGCCAAGTCCTCCTCCACTTGGTCTCTCGATTGTAGAGGAGTCCTTCCTATTCTTATGTTACTAGCATCGGGAGCGATCTTCTTCAGCATCAGATGAAAAAAAATACCAAACATGGTGATGCACTGTGGTCTGAAATAAAAAAGTAGGGTTTCTTTGAATATCCTTAAAACTAACTTCAAAACACTTGCTTATATTGCTACATATAAACAAATAAATACACAAAATTTTTCTTTTGATTTCATCATGGAAAATAATATAATTTGTTTTGAAGGCAACTGAATTTTTTATTTAAATGCAAAAACTTTGCCATAAACAAATTTTGTTTTTTTGCTTTCTTCGACAAAAAGAATTTGTTTAGAAAAAAACTTGTTTTTTTTTTTTTAATACGAATAAAAGAATTTGTTTATAATAATAAAAGGATTTATTTCATAGGAAAAATTGAATAGATTCTTTCCTTCTTAGTTGTAAAAAATTTAAAGTAAAATTCAATTTTTGTTATTCTAAAAAACGAAAAAACGATTTATCTGTGTTTGTTTTGACACAGGTGACAGTGGTGGCCCGTTTATGGATGAGGGCTCTTCCGGTCTAATAAATTCAAGTGGGCGTCACTCTTTATTGGGTATTGTAGCTTTTGGACCAACTAAATGTGGAATGTCTAATATACCTGGAGTTTACACGCGCGTCAGTTCCTATTTGGGATGGATTATAGAAAGTATCAGCTTAAGTTAGCGTTAATTTAAATATAAGCCCCAAATATCATATATGTATGTACTTGTACAATATTTTTACTCTTAAGAATTATCATTCAATGTTAAGAACTAATTAGATATTTATTTTAGAATTAGCATATATTTTTTTTTTTGTTAAATGATTATTTGTTGTCCATCATATTATTCGTTTCCTACATTGCTGTTGCAAGGCCGTAGCCAATTAGAGTACATAGTAGACCAGTTGTAAATCTGAAGCTGTCTTCTGGAGGGTAACCAGTTCCATAGATCTTTTGTAGTTGGAACTTTCCAAAAGTTCTTTCGCCTGTCTTAGCACAGGCCATGATGGTAGGAGGACCGACTGCGAGATAGGATTATGGTTGGGTAGCTGCTGCTTCCCTTGCTAGTCTGTTGACCTCTTCGTTGCCCTCTACGCCTTTGTGGCCCGGGATCTACAACAGTTGTGATGTGTTGTGCTCCTCCAGGAAGTCAGTTTTTTTTAACCACATCGTCTCTGGGAGATAGGAACATTGATTTTGATTTCCTATCCCAGCCTGTTCGGAATTACCTTAACCTTGCCCTCTCTCATAAGGTTGAGTAGGGATTTCTTAGCAGTCTACGAATATGTGGGCAGCGGCGGGGCAAGTGCGCATAGCTGCCGTTATGCAGGTGCACACCTGCCGCTGAAGCTGAAGAAATTTCTTCTCCTAGTAAAATGGATGATGGTTGTTTAGGCAGGGTCTTCTGTTGTTTTTGTTTTTTTTACTGCCGTCTGTGCAACTCTGGTTCGTTGCGTTGTTCCGATCCATCTACGAATAGAGGCGGCTGCGTTCCTCTTCTCTTGGTCCATAGAACGGACCAGCATAATACATATGTAAGTAGTCGTTACAATATAAGTAATACAAGTTTTATCACAATTTGCAAATGTTATTAAAAATAAAATGTGTATATGTAAACAAAAAATATCATAAATTTTTCACAATAAAAAGCCATGAACATCGGTTGCAATTTCAGTGCTTCAAATCATATGTGAATTCATAGCTGATTGGTAATGCCAACCGTCAGGACTGAACACCTAGGACTTGTGTGTGTTAAATTCATTAAAAAAGTAAGGCGCAAGGTAAGTACTTTACGATGCATAAGTGATTTCATGTCCGATTCAGCGGTGAAGCGAACTGAAGTGAATCCGTACGTAAATTTACGATCTTTGTCATTTTTAACATAGTTTAGATTAGTTTAAGAAAAAATTACATAAAAAGTTCACATCTGTGTCATGCATTGATTACTCATAGAAATTTACACTAACATATGCATGCATTTGCAACTGGCATCGTGCATGGTATTTCCGTTCCTTTATATTTCTTACTATGACAACATGTCTACTCTTTCGTGGCTCTCTTTGGATCTTAAAGTAATTATTCAAGATTTTGACGGCATTAAAAATGATTTTGTTTAACGAATTGCCGCTCTGTAGCTGTTATCTTGAAAGTTGCAGCAAACAGCTGGGAAGAACCGAATATAGAGACACCCATACATACTTAAATACGACCATATAATGCATATGTACTAGGGATGTTACGAATGTCATATTTTTCACATTCGCGAATGCGAATGCGAATTTTTGGAATAACATTAAAAAAAGCTATAATCACTTAAGTCATCTTTTTTATTACTTGAAGATTTTGTAAATTATTAGAACACTGAAGGAGTGCTTAACTCATACATACGGTGACCATCCGTCCTGTATTATACGAGACAGTCCTCTTTTTCGCCAGTTGTCCTGGTTATATATTTATTTTATACGAGACGGCAACTGTTCTGTATTTCTTTTAATGTCCCTTATTTGTCCCGTATTGGGTACTTTGGTGTCTTAACAACTCATAAAAATGGCATTCCTATGATTCAGTTTTTATTTTTAAATCTGGACGTTTGTGATTCGAATCGCGGAGCACATATGTAGATGGTTTCTGAAGTTATAATTTTGCGTAGAAAAACTGGACGTTAATGACTGTAGTTCAAATTTCTTAAAGAAAATTTACTAATATTTAGATTTTCAAAGGTTTTTTCAACGCATTTAACGTTGAATACTCTGTGTGGAGCAAAGCACATTGAATAGGTAGCAGCAGTAGAGCCGCTGATTTTATTTCTGTCGCGAATTTCGTCCTTAAATTGTCATTTATGTTTAAATTTTCCTCTAAAAATTTACTATAAGGCCGGCTGCACTGAATAATTGCTCGACCCTATTAAGCTGGCATTTCGGGGTACTATTTTATATATATATAAGAAAAATTTGAAAGTTAGGGGGGGGCTCAAGCACCCCCTCGCCCCTACCTGGCTACGCCCATGGCCAGATCTGTCAATTTGTCGTAGTTTAGTTTAATTTTCCACCAATCGAGAGGATTTTCACCGAGATGAGCTCGCTTTTCTTTAATTTCACATTTTGAATGTCTCCAGATTCTACATCCGAGCCTTCGATTTCATTGAGTGAATCTAAAATTATTTTTAGGTTGCTCTTAAGGCTTTTAGCGCCTGAAGCTAAAAGCCGGTTATTGTCCGCACCCTGGCTAGACAGATTTATTCTTATCTTATTCTTTATCGTCATTTCAACAATATTAGAGTGGACTCTCTGCCCATGTACACATTCGCATTCGCAAAAGATCTTTTGATGCGAATGTGTAAATATTCGCAACATCCCTGATATGTACGAATGTACATACATACGTACATACATTACTAAACTCGAAAACTCTCATGGAATAACCGGTGCCGATAGCAAAGAGGAATAATTTGTTTAATATTGTAAATGGGTAACGAAGACCAACCAACAGCGGCTAACCGAATTGTGTGTGCGAACATTTGAGTATCGCATGTCGAGGAGAACTGAAATCGCGCTTTGTTCTACGTAGTATATTTAGTTAAGTTGAGATGAGATGCTGCTGATTACTGTGTGCGCGCATCAATAATTAGCTAGTCTCAGCCAAAGCGCCAGTCTAACACCAGCAGGCTTCTGACAAAAGTTAAAAAAAAAATATATATATATATATAAGTATATACATATGTATATATATAAAAATAATAACAAATAAATATTTCATACACATTTCGGATACTTATAATCCTACTATTGTTGTATGAAGACTCAGTCCTTGTTATAATTTTGTGAACTTGACTTTAATAGAGAATTATGACGATCCGGTTATATATTTACGTATTTTTGGCGATTGCGACAACGGTTATACCACAATTTCTTGTGGCTGGTGAGTAAAAATTAGCTTATTATTTATTTAAATGAAACTTAAGTATATATGTTTATTCGGAAAAATTTTTTCCCGGCTTTAGTTTATACGAAAATTTTATGTTAACGTATGTACATACATACGTATTCCATATCAAAATCATGTTCTTTTCGATTATAACGCATTGTTGCCTAATTTTTTTTTGATGTATGTATGTACATATGTCAATTTTGTCTAAAAACACAATTATAAAAATATTTGTTACAAACACACTTTAATATTGTGCAATAAATTCAGTATTTGCTAACTTGTAACAGTGTGAGGCAATAATTCTCAGATCCTCAATATTAATCTTAAGCATGCCTTTAATCTTATATGTATGTACATATTTACAAATTTATGTATGTATAATAGGGCGCATCACCAAAAAAATTGCGGTTGTTCCACCGGAATTATAAAATTAATTACATTTTAAAACCCAAAATCATAAATAACAAAATCATAATCATAAATAATAAAGAACTGCTTTCAAGACGAATTTATGTGAGGTGGCGTTGTTAGAATAGCTGATTTAAAAGGCCTCGGTACACATGTGTCAAAATTTGTTAAGAGTGAGTGAGAAAGGGAGATTGCTTGATGTGTGCCGAAAGCAAAAACAAAATACATTTAAGCTTTTGTTATTGTACTACCGCGACCACCTTATATGAATTCCTGCTTTATATGTACATCGAAAATTTGTAAGAAAATATCACTTTGTGAAGCTCTTCAAAAATCTCATTATTTGGATTCCATAGATAAAATTTTTAAACATTTTTAACCAGAACTTTTAAGCATAAACTCTCTATCATCTGAGGTGAATTTCTAGAAAAAATATGAATATTTTTAAAAAGCCATAAACACCAAACAAAACGGAAAAATATATATTTGAAAAAACTAATTTAAATTATAAAAAAACTCGATTTTTGAAGATCGTTTCTAATACGTTCAGCTGACGTAAATCTTAATAATTTTCTGAAATATTTTGACGGAAGTCTTAGAATATAATAATTTTATAATTCCGATAAAGAAACAGTACCGATTTTTTTTTTGTATGTGGAGTGATGCGCCCTAATGTACATAAATACATACATTTGTATGTATATCCATACGCCAGATGTGTATTTTTTCTATTACAAATGTATGGTATACATATCTATGTGCATATGTACAACATATTTAAATTTAATCTATTTTGGTTTTAGTAACAAGCTATGGATCCTGCTTTACTCCCAACCGCGTGGAAGCTAATTGTATTAGCTTAGAAGATTGTCGCTTTCTTTTCGAATTGGTACAAGATCCCAATCTTTCACAAAACGATCGCGCATACTTGCGTAGCAGTCAATGCGGATATCGTAATCGTAAAGTATTGGTAAGTTATGCCGCTAATCGCTAATAAAACTTTAATACTCGTACATCCTCATTACCAAGTAAGTAAATCTATACTCATGCAGATATGCTGCCCCCCTCAATATCTCACACAAAGTGCCACTACGCCTGCGCCGCCCTTGCCGCCAGTCACTCCCGCACCCGCACCCGCACGTGCACCTGTCCCAGTCCACGCATCGCCAGCTGCCGTGCTGTTTCCGCAATCTAGCGGTGCAGCACCAGCAAGACGCCCAGCGAATAGCCTAAGCAGTGGCATCGTCAGTGGCGGCAGCAGCATTGCTTCTTCGCTACCTCAATTTCCTCAATGTGGCAATGTGCTTGACAACCGTATTTATGGTGGCACCGAGACAGCGATTGATGAATTTCCTTGGACCGCCTTGATTGAGTACACGAAACGTAAGTGAATGCTAAATATGCAGTTACATTTGCCAACATAAATTTCTTATTTTTCTTGCTTTTACCAACAGCTGACGGTGTAAAGGGGCACTATTGCGGTGGCGCTTTGATTAGTGACCGCTATGTGGTAACAGCGGCTCATTGTGTTAAACCTAGTGATCTCCCTGCTAGTTGGTCCTTGACTGGCGTTCGTTTGGGCGAATGGGACACTCGCACTGATCCCGATTGCAACAAAGAGGGTTGCGCGCCAACTCATAAAGATATTACCATTGCACAGAGTATGCCACATCCGGATTATGCGAATCACAATGATCCCAATGACATTGCATTATTACGTCTTAACGAGTCCGTACGATTCACAGATTTTGTTAAACCAATTTGCTTACCCACAACACAAAATTTACGCATGGACACTTTTGTCAATACTGCAATGGATGTAGCCGGTTGGGGTTCAACGGAAAAGAGTCAAAGTAGTCCCGTTAAGTTGAAGGCCACATTAAAGGTTAAGGATTTAGATGTATGTCGTCAGAAGTATGCGCAATTGAATGGCATACGATTGGATCCGACGCAGTTGTGTGCGGGTGGTGAGTCGGGAATCGATACATGCCGTGGTGATTCGGGTGGCCCTCTGATGTTTCAGGACGATGTAAATGGTAAAGCGGCTTACTATCTAATTGGTGTTGTATCGTATGGTCCAACACCGTGCGGTTTAAGTGGTTGGCCAGCGATATACACTAGAGTTGGCGCTTTTGTAGACTGGATTGAAAGAACAATGCACGCATAGAGATACGCGAGTATCTAAGTACATATTTTGAAATAAAGTTATTACCCAAAGCTATGCAAATGTATGTTAGTTTTCCAAAATATTAAAAAAAAAACTTTCAAGGGATAATTAAAAAGTGTTTATTCCATTTTAAAACATAATTAGGTCATACAAATAATCTTTGACTTTGGACGGTGAGTAGAATCTATGTACGTCCATGAAAAAATAATTTGGGTTCAATAGATATGAGAAACTAGATTAAAAGTCTTCATTTTATTGTTTATTCGTATATAAGAAATGGTTTTGAACCTACATATAATCGCAGCACAATCTTAGATATGTCCAAAGGAAAAATAATAGTCGTGTCTTCTAAAGAGATTCCTTACTTACCGATGTGCTAAAAAATCCATCTGTCTTCGGATGCATACATACATTAAGTTTGTTCTCATCCCGTGTTTTTTTTTTTGGAATCTTCCATCCTATTATATTTAATAACCGACCAAACACTTAGAGCGTCGCAGAGTTATTAACTCAAAGACAGCTGTAAACTAAGGCATTCATTATTTTGTTCATTTAATACCCTGTACCTTTCGATATTTCTAGCGTTTTGACTTTGTTTTTATAGTTTTAATTAATTGCTGCAGAAATTATGTACGTATATATGTACATTAGGGTGCATCGTTATCCATACAAAAAAAATCGGTACTGTTTTACAAAATAATTATAATAATAGATTGGCGCTTACACATATGTTAGTGTTTGGCCGAACTTCTCCTCCGATTTGTAGCGTGCGCCTTGAAGTCATCACACAAATGGGAGGGACCTACAATTTTTCGCCGACTCCGAACGGTGATTGTATTTTTATGAGAAGCTGTTTTTCATGGCAGAAATAATCTCGGAGGTTTGCCATTGCCTGCCGAGGGCGACCGCTGTTAAGAAAAACCCTTTTTTCTATATTTTTTGCGATGTTGCTTTGAACAGGGATTGAACCCAGGCCCTGCGGGGTGGAAGCCCGCGCTGCTTACCACTACACCACAGCGGACGTCGAAATTATAAAATTCATTTATTGTATTTAAGACTTGGGCCAAAATATTTCGAAAAATTATTAAGATGGACGTGTTTGAACACAACTAAAAAATTAAGTTCTTTAAAAAATAACATTAGTTTTTAAAAATATTTTTTCCAAATAAAATTACCTCAAATGGTGAAAGAGTTGAGGCTTAAAAAGTCTGCATGTTTGAATTATTTTATCAATGACTTAAAAATAATTAGATTTTTTCAGGTATTTTTATTTTTCCAAAAAAATCACCTCAGATGATGGAAGAGTTTACGCTTAAAAAGTCTGCATAAAAATGTTAACAAAAATTTATCAACGAAATCAATATAATTTTTGAGGTATTTTTAATTTGGTTTAAGCTTTCGTGAACATTTAATATTTTTCGGAAAATTTTGACGAAAGTCTTAAAATATAATAAGTTGGAAAAACCGCAACTTTTATTGGAGGCATCCTAATGTATATATATGCATACACATATTTATACAATGTAATTGGGGGACAGGTTTTCCTCTTTCCAGCATAGTTGTGTCATTCACTTAGATATTTAGGGGATTCACAAGATGTTGCAAGCGTCGTAATATCTTAAAGTCGTAAATTTGATTTTTAGTCGATTTTTAACTACGCAAAAATCTGTTTAAGCTGATAAAAAGAAAAAATAATAAACTCCAATTACACCAGTTAATCCAGTAAAAGCATTTCAGCCGTTATTTCTTATAAAAAAATCCACTTTTAAGCACTACGCCGCTTACGACATCTTGTGAATTCCCTAGCTGTAAATTTAAACGTTAAAAATTGCATCATTTACCTTCAAAAAGTATTAAGGGTAATCACAATTCGGTGTATATGGTTTTGTATATTTCGATGCATTTTCAAATTCACAACAATAAAATGCGAACGGGTGCTATGGTAACTAGCAAGCATAATATTATAGTAGCTGATTAGAAGAAAAATGTGTAAGTACTTTTGGCTATCTTAATCGAGTGGTTAGAGGTGCTTACTACACCGTGCGACAAAAACCTAAAAAAAATTTCAAAAGGCACGTAACAGCCAATATATTCACGAAGATATGAGCAAAATAAATTAAAACTGCGTTTTTGGCTTCTATCTCTGAAATTTCAAAGTGCAATGTAGAATAACAACATATGTGTTACTGGTCGAACTCGATCTTTGGACAAACTAGTTTTTCCTAGGCTACATTAGTTCTACCTGGATCCAAGTTGGACGCGACAATATTGTGGACTGCGTACCTGGAGTTGGACTGATGAGGGTTCTTCTTTCGGAAGTGCGACCGAAGGCCGTCTACGCGAAAAGGTGTTCTGCGCAAAAATAAATATATATAAATATAAAAATAGGCAAAACTAGTTTGTCCTAAGATCGGGTTTGCCGTTAACATATGCAATAGCGAATTGTCAAAACTTGCTCAAAAATTCGTAATAACTAAGATTTAAGCCTAGGCATCCACTTTCTTGTTAACACCAGGGGCCAATTAATGGTCTATATGAGATCACTGTTCAGACAAGCCAGCCTATCCTCATCTATAACTCAGTTTTAGGTGCAGTAATGATACTACGTACTTTGACACATTCGTTTCGACCTTTTGTACGGCATGCGTACTAGTTGTTGTTGGTCGAAATATTGTTTTACGGCATAAATTGTAATGGCTACCTCTTTTACGTTTTGGGCACAGAATTGGAAAAATGTAAAATCGGTAAAGTTTGCAAGGAGGCAAATTAACGAAATATGCATGTATGTATGTTTGTATGTATGTTTGTATGTATGTATATTCGTTGACCGCTATAATAAAGATAAAGATGAGTGTTCAAAAAAGCAGCGTCGGGCAAATTGATAGGGAAGCCTTGAGAAAAATGAACTTCGATGCCTTAAACGCACATTTATCAGCTCACAATTGTGTAGCGTCCTCGTGTTTTTTTTTTTTTTTTTTTTGACTCGTGATAAGAGCAATCTACTCTACCAATATTTACTTAAATCTCCACATTACATCTGAAAGAGAAACAAGCTGAGCGCCTTCTCTTAAAACATAGTTAATTGATGTGCCAAGTAAATAACAGCAAATACTAATTATTTTGAGAATTTCACTAAACCCAAGCTTAAGCGAAGAAATATTACGCAAACTGTGTTCGGAGAGGGGAATTTCAAAGCGTGACTCAAAAGATTTTTGCGTAGACATATGAAGAAGCAGCATCTTCTCCAGCTCTCAGTTGCCTTTGCGACGTGAAACGATACTTGTCGTAAGTCTTAGTTATAATAAGACAGCGGAAAGTTGAATTTGCTGCTAGCTCGCTGTTATTTCGCAGTTAGTCGTCAAAAAAAAAAAGAAAAAAAAAACACAAATCACAATCAAAAACGAAAAATACTCGTAAATACATACATACATATCTCTGTCATCAATACGGATTGCGTTGTTAAAAAATAAAAAGAAATAAATAAATTATTAATTAATGCAAATGCTAAACGTGTTCCGATCATCAGCCGCTGAGGTAATTGTACTGATTCGTTGGAAGTGAATTTGCGGAATTTGACTACAGTGAAATTACTATTGAAACAAAATTAAAAAAAAAAAAAACAACAATAACAATAAAAACTGCATTTACAAAATATGTTTGTTTGTATGTACATATGATACTTTTTCGGTGTAAAATTTGAATAAATTTCTCTTTAAGTAAATGTGTAAAAAATATAACAAAAAACAGTGAGCAGCGAACGGAAAACTAGAATCAAAGAAAATAAAAAATACAAAAACAGTTTATGAACAATACCTTTAAAATAGCAACAAGAACCTCACAATACACAACAACAACAACAACGACAAAGGCTGGCTTCGTGTTAACAGTAAGCAGCTTCAGTTCAATATGATAAAACCGGTGTTAATTAGCGTCTTCTACATTGGTGCTTTTCTGTGCGGTTTATCAGCACGTAAGTAATTTACGTACTTTACCAGTATGTCGGCTTTTACATATGTACGTACGTAGTAGGCACATATCCACATGCCAAACCAGTACGCAAAATAATTTGCCAATTTGTTAACATTCTTAATGGTTGCATACATTCACATACATAGCTTACTTTACACAATTTATTAAGGTGTAATAAGTATGTGATCGGTTTAATGGCAACATTTCAGCATTTTTCTGATATGAGAAACTTGATGCAGTTCAACAGAGCTCCTCTAAACGAACCGAACTGCATCAAAATTGTCATATCGAAAAATTCTGACTTATTCCGTTTGCTAATTAACCGATTCATGTATCAAATAAATCGCTTCATAAAAAGACATTTATTATTTTAAAACAAAAAAAAAACAGTGCCGTCTCCGGCTATACCGTTCATGAATACGCGTTAGAGATGTGCGCGGGATATCGGGATCTAATTTCAAAATGGTCGCGATGGGTGGTATCGGGTAGGTTTTAAAAAAATTACTGGGCGTGACGGGACGAAAATTCTTTGCCGACACTCCCGATTAAATCCACGACTTCCGAAAAGAAAACAGAATACCTATAGATACTTAATTGCGTTGCCACGGGAGATTGTAACAAAATGTTTCAAGCATATTTACTTTAAAATTAAAAAAATACACCCGAAGGTTTGCCATTGTCTGCCGAGGGGCGACCGCTATTAGAAAAAAACTTTTTTGATGTTGGCTTGAACAAGGCTTGTACCCAGGTCCTGCGAAATGGTAGCGCACACTGCTAACCACTACACCACACCGGCCACTGTGAATTTTTTCTTTATGACAAGGACAAATTTGGATGAAGGAGTTATATCGCAAAAAGCTATATCTGAACAATTAGTTGCATGGCATATATACCTTCTAAAACACCGATCTTGACAATTGACCTTGTATGATAAATTAGTAAATATCTAATTAAATTTCTCGGTTTTAGATGTCTAAATGAAGAAATTTCAAAGTAAAACTTCATACCTGAACTATCAGTTGTATGGGAACGATAAGTTATAGTGACTGGATCTTTGTAATTTTCACTTTTGATAATATTTGAAAATAGCGCGAAATTTTATGTTCCTAGCTGCATAAGTGAGGGGTTTATAACTCAAAATCTCATATCTGAATAATCTGTTATATGGCAGCTATAGATTGTAATAGTCCGATTTTGCCCTGCAAAAATCGCGACTGCTCCATGCACGTATGTAAAGAGTACTCCATAATGGTCAAGGAGTACTCCAAAATTAACAGCAATACATATTAAAAATGTGTAAGATTACGATGCCCCAGGGCAGGACCATATACTTCAGCTCTGCATTAATATAACATTGTATGTAACATACAAATAAGTAATGCATCTACATAAGTAGCGTCTTAAAACAAATTATTTATGTTGAACACTCTAAACTATTACCTTGATCGATCAAAAAATAAAACTGCAGCAGCATCATTCACTTAAGGTTCGTTGCTCTATTGAATACGATTGTATTTACCAGGCGCGCACCTATCAAAATTTTGTAGGGGGATTTTTGTACCTGAATTGAATTCAAACAGCTGCCTTGGACTAAAGTTATGTCATTGCTATTTACACGTTTATAATCGATTGCGGCTGGACCTTGTGTGGTAATTAAAACCATAAGAAACCCTTTTTTGTTACAACATTTTGATAAAAATAAATAAACAGATTTTACTGAAATATTAACTGGTTTTCTGAAAGAGTATTGCTGCTGCATTTCTTTCTCTATAATAAGGACCATATATTTTATTTTTTTTATTATTATTATTACACTGTAGTTTTTATTACCACTATTGGAAGGGAGAGAAACAAACTATATCGTCTGATACATGGACAATCGGATAATATGTTACAGAAATCTGATATCCCATCAGGTAGCCTGTGGAAGTCTTGAGTATTTAAGTCTCTGAACTTGGATTCAGAAGCAATTGCGAGATTCTAGTTGATATTTCAAATATATTACCTTTTCCCTTGGGAGTTCTTTTGTGTATCCTTTTGCCGGACTAAAGAAAGATCATATAGGCCAAATAGGCTCCGTTGGGACCGACGTTTTGCGAGAGCATCAGCTATTTCGAAACTCTCATGTCCCGCTACCCACTAATGGCTGACACTGTTATGCGTGCTTAATTGGATCCATGGGCGTAGCCAGGTAGGGGCAGGGGGGTGCTCGAGCCCCCCCTAACTTACAAATTTTCCTTATATATAAATAAAATACTACCCTGAAATGCCAGCTTAATAGGGTCGAGCCCCCCCTAAATTTCATTCTGGCTACGCCGATGATTGGATCAATAGAGTTTTCAAGCTGCTCAAAGGCCTAGATGTAGTTTTGGGCTTTTGACGTTGTCTGACACTAGGCCAAGCATTACCATCCTCGACCATGCATTCTTTAGTTTGTATACCAGACTTTCACTGTCACTGCCAATCGTTCCCAGTACTTTCATGGCTCCTCTAATGGCCATGATGCAATAATACAAGGTGGTATCAGTTGTGACAGCTCGATTTGACACTGCCTTAGCTCAGTAGAATAAGAAGAAAAACGGGAAGAAATGAATCCCCATTTGGGGGGAAAATATAAAATTTCATATTTTCTTCTAAACAAAATTTGCTTTTTTATAGTATATTCGCAATGAAATGAAGTAAAATAAGATATAATGGGCCGTATGAATAAAAACTAAGCAATTGCTTTTTCTTAAAATTTCATACCGTTTACTTCAATTTTGTTTGAATAAATTGAGTAAAATGTCTGATATTTAAGAAAAAGCAATTTCTTATTTTTTATTCATATGGCCCAATACCTTTTTGAGAAAACAAAATGCGTATACTGAGAAAAAATAAAAAAAATTCAACTATATTATTAGGCAGATAATTGTTAAAGAAGTAACACTGTTTCAGTTAAGGCAGTCAATATGGCGGAATTAGAGCGAGAAGTTGCCAACTGATAACACCTTGTATTATTGCATCATGTGTAATGGCTACATAGACTAGAGATGCAATTTTTAAATCGATTAAATCGAAGATCGATGAAAAGAGGGATTGCGAACGCAAGCTTCTACTACATACATTAGACTGACCCAATTTTACCTAATGTCATTATTTTTTTGAGGCTGATAGCTAAAAACTTCCGAATACCGCGCTAATAGGCTAAATATACCCTGTAGGAAATGTATCTAACTATAAGCTAACTTTAAGTTGATTAGGAAGTAGCTAAAAGTCACTTATTATCTGTATATTTTCTTTGACGAAAGCTAACTATATTTCTATGGCGATGGTCGCGATATAGTCAAGGGTGGTTACCTCTGCATTTGATCTAATTAACTTGTAACTATTTTTGGACATAAAATATCAATAGGAACATTGTTATTTTTTTACTTTTTATTTTTTATTCATTTTATTATATTTCATATTTGTTTTCATATTCTGCTGTAGGTGGTCTCATACTCGAACTCCATCAGACATAACTTCTAATGATAAAATTAAATTTCGATCTTCCTTTTATTTGTCCTCAATTCGAAAAAGTATTTGCGAAGTGCAGGATATTTAAATAGAAACGCGTTTAAAGAAAACAATCTTCTTCATTACTCATTATAGAAATCCCTCAAAAAGCTAACTACAAGCGGGTTATTTTTTATCAATTGATACTTTTTTTCTGCAGGGTAATAATAAACAATAAATCTGAATCAAGCACTAAAAATGATCTTAAAAGTTCACACCTTAAACTAAGTATATGTGAATATTTACATACATACATATGTATGTATTTAACATATACATGTGTTTAAAATACATATGTACATTAGACTGCATCACTCGCCATACAAAAAAAATCGGTACTGTGTTACCATTGAAATTATAAGATCTTTTATATTTGAAGACGTCCACCAAAATATTTTGGAAATATATTAAAATTTACGTGAGCTGGACCGATTTGAAAATATCTCTAAAACTGGAGTTTTTTGTAATTAAAAAATTTTAAGATTTTATGATAAAAATCGCCTCGGCATAAGCTTAAAAAATTAAATAAAAGTATTAAAAAAAATGCAAAAAAAATATTCAACGGAATCGTAATAATAAGTTTTTTAACCTTTTTCAACCATTGGTATAAGAAAAACTTGAATAACTGAAGCTAAACTATTCCGATTTAGACATGTGAGGTATCATTGGAAAGGTATTTCTCACCCTTTTAAGTCATTTGCTAATAAACTCATTCAAAGGTTGAAAGAGAAAAGTAGGATGAACGAGTGTAATTCCAAGTTGAATTAAAATTTTTTGATATTTAAAAACAATTGGGACGTGAATGAGTTTTTTTGCAGAGAAATAAAAAGTGTTGGAAAATACCTTTCTAATGATACCCAATAAGTTTAAACCGGAACAGTTTTGGCCCAGTTAGCCAAGTTTTCGTAAACAAGT